CCACCTCCTCTCTCCTCGTCGTCGTCGTCACTATCATCATCATCATCATCATCATCATCATCATCATCATCATCATCATCATCATCATCATCATCATCATCATCATCATCATCATCATCCTCATCATCCTCATCATCATCATCATCATCGTCATCAGCATCATCACCACCATCACCATCACCATCACCATCACCATCATCATCAGCATCATCATCAGCATCAGCATCAGCATCATCATAATCATCATCCGCATCATTCATCCTCATCGTCATCATCATCAGCATCACCATCACCATCGTTATCATCGTCATCATCGGCATCACCAATACCATGATCATCATGACCATCATCATCATCATCAACAACAACATCATCGTCGTCAGGGTAATCGTCATCGTCATCGTCATTATCATCGTCAGCATCAGCAGCAGCATCAGCATCAGCATCAGCAGCATCATCATCATCACCATCAGCATCCGAATCATCATCGAAACCCTCCTTCTCTCATCATCATCACCACCAACAACTAAATACCATGAACGCCACCACTAACACCATCATCATCATCGTCCTCCTCCTCCTCCTCCTCCTCCTCCGTATCCTCCTCAGCATCACCATCACCATGAAACTCATCACCATCAGCATCATCATCATCATCATCATCATCATCAGCATCATCATCATCATCATATTCATCCTCGTCATCATTGTTCGCATTCGCCCTCGCATCCTCATCATCCTCGCCATCCTCCTCATCCTCCTCATCCTGACCCTCATCCTTCTCCACCTCCTCCTCCTTCTCCTCCTCATACTCCTCGTCCGTCTCATCGTCCTCCTAATCATCGTGCGTCTGATCGTATGTGTCCACACCATCCTCCTCAACAGCATCACCACCATCACCAGCATCATCGCCATGATCATCGTCAAGATCAGCATCATCATCATCATCATCCTCATCATCATCAGCAGCATCATCATCTGTATCACCACCATCACCATCAGCATCATCAACATCATCAACAGGAGCCAGCATCGTTAGCACCGCCATCAACATCAAAATCAGCATCAGTAAAACCGTCATCACCCTCCTATGACTCTCCTCGACCTCCGCCCCACATCTTCCTCCTTTCCTGTCCCTTCTTCCTCATCCTCTCCTCCTCTTTCTCCTCCTCCTCCGCCTGCCCCTCCTCCTCCTCGTCATCTCCTCCTTCTCCTCCTTCTCCTCCTGCTCCTCCTCCTCTTCCTCATCCTCCTCCTGAGCATCATCATCATCGTCATTAGCATCATCATCTCCCTCATCATCATGACCACCGTCATCATCAGCCTCATAGTCAGCAGCACCACTATCAGCAGCAGCACCAGCATCATCAGCATCATCATCAACATCAGTAGCAGCAGTAACATAATCTTCCCCATCCCCCATAGCAGCATCATAATCATCATGAGCAGAAGCATCAGCATGGTCATAAACAGCAGCCATCATCATCAGAACATCATGAGCAGCAGCATCATCTGCATCATCATCACCATCATCATTAGCATCAGTACCATGGTTGTCATCAGCAGCATGACCATCATACCATCATCATCACCATCATAATATATCCTCGTCGTCATCACTAGCGTCGTCGTCATCATCAGCATCATCATCCTCCTTATCTTCATTATCAGCATCATCATCATCACCATCACCATCGCCATCAGCATCAACATGATCGTCGTCAGCATCATCGTCACCAGCATCATGATGATCATCATCGTAATAACCACCACCAAAGCATGATCATCAGCACGATCATCAGCACAGCATGAGCAGCAGCAGCAGCAAGCAGCATCATCAGCAGCAGCATCGCAATCAGCATCAGCATCATTATCATTGCTATCACCACCATCATCATTAGCAGCAGCATCGTCAGTGTCAGCATCATCATCAGCAGCATCATCATACGACTCGTCAGCATCAGTATCGCCATTGCCATCACCATCATCATCGGTACCATCATCAGTTAAACACACAAATGTCGGCATCATCATCAGCATCAGCAGCATCATCATCAGTATCAGCATCAACAGCACCAGCATCACCACCAGTATGATCGTCATCATCATCAGCAGCATCACCATCATCAGCAACAACATAATAATCAGCCTCATCATCGCCAACAGCATCATCCAGAACAACTTAACTCTTGTCATAGTCACGACCACCACCACCATTATTATCATCAGAAGCATCATCACCGGCATCATAATCAGCAGCATCATTAGCAGCAGCGGAAGCAGCAGCAGCATCATCATCGTCATCGTCAGCAGCAGCAGCATAAGCATCATCAGCATCATCAGCATCATCATCAACAACATCATCAGCAGCATCATCATCGTCGTCGTCATCATCATTACCAGCAGCATCAACATCATCATCAGCATCCTCGGTATCCTCAGCAAGAGCAGCATTATCAGCAGAAGCACCATAATCATAAGCCTCCTCCACGTCGTCGTCCTAATCATGATCTGCAGGATCACAGTCTCACGGAGCCTCGTCACGTTCGATACAGTTGACTGGCCATCGGCATGCCGTGGTGGCTCGGCTCGATGTTCTGCCCGCGTATCTTGCTGGATGCCTGCAGCGTCGAGGACACCGTCATCGGTGTGTTGCACTCCGTTTTGCACTCACATCCAGCACCACATGACCAGGTTGCCTCCTCCAGGTGAGCGGCTGGACTTGATACAGTACCAGGTGTGACGAGCTTGATGTCGTTGTCTCATGCTATTGCCGCTCTGCAGCTCCATGGGTACCTTCTTGCTGACTTCGAGCGGCTTGCGTTTCTCATTCGGCCTCGTCATTTTCTTGTCCCTTGGGCAGGCAGCGAAATGGCTGATGACAACCGCTGCCTTCAAGTGTGTCTTGGATGCCAGCATGTCCCTTTCGTTGAGCTCGTTGACCTGCGACTTGATGAAGTTCATGGCCTTCGCCACCCTTGCCTGCGCCAGCTCGCCTGCCACTCCGTTTCCATGAGAAGAGCTGAGGTCTTATGATAGAAACCCTCGAGTAGATTCGTAGCATTTCATAAGGTTCACTTGGCTTCTGCCTCCAGGTCTGGCCTCCCGAACTTGTGCCACTGCTCTCCACCATCTGTTGTTGATACCACCAGGCTGAGCAGGGAGGAGGAGGAGGTAGAGGCGAAATCGTCGTCGTCGTCGTTGTCCCGTCCTCGTCCCCGTCCTCGTCCTCGCCGTCATCCTCGCTCCTGTGTTTGCCGAGGGAGTGAGAGAAGGAGGGAGGACGAGGAAGACAAGTAGGACGGCTCCAAGTGCCCTTCCAAAACCTAAGGAGAGCCCGAAGAGGGTCCCTGGAGGGCCCACGACGGTCCAAACAACGCCCAAGACTGCCAAGCGCGCCCCAATACGTCCCCAAGATGCTATGTCAAGGGCCCCGACGGAAGGGGCGTACTCAGGACCCCCCGCTTGAAACCAGTAATTTCCAAGATGGCCTCAAGAGGGCCCCGAAGTCTCCCAAGAGAGGCTCCAGAGACCCCAGGACGTCTCAAGGGGGGCCCAGAAGACCCCCCGGAGCGGTCCAAGAACGCTACAGACTCCAGAATGGCCCCGATGTGGACCCAAGAGGCTCCCAGAGCGTGACTGCATGATTCCTCCTCCTCCTCCTCCTCATTCGCCTCCTCCTCCTTCTCCTCCTCCTCCTCGATCAGAGCAACTCGCTTGGCGATAGGTGTTGGATGGACTCGTGGGGACACGCGGAGCCTAGAGGATGTGTAGCAGCTTCAGATATGGAGGGCGGCTGGTGTTCAAAGTGTGGCTCGCGCCTTGGCGCCACGCCCAGTCGTGCTTCAGCTGGCAGCGGCTTCCAAGGTGGAGGGCGGGCCGTTGTCAAGACGTGTTTTCTCGCGCTGGCGCCGCACACTCGTCCCGATAGAAGCCGATCGGCTTCGAGGATGGAGTGCGGGCCGCTGTCAACAGGTTGCTCTCGAGTTAGCGCTGCGCACCTTCGTGCTCAAAGTTTGCAATGGCTTCAAGGATGGAGGGCAGGGCGTTTTCAAAATATGGCCATGGTCTCAGAGTCGCGCACATTCGTCTCCAATGTCCACTGCAATTTCAACGATGCAGGGCTTCAGGGATGGATGGCGTTGAAGTCCCAAGAATGGTGTGTTGGTAAGATTGGGATTCCCAACGGTTGGTTTGCAATGACACACTTTACGGAATGAGCATCAATTCATGTGGGAACCTCTGAAGAGGGAACTTGGAGGGAGGGTGGATTGCAACATCGGTGGTGCGCCTTGTGTTTACACTGGTCTTCCGCCTCTTCCACTACTCTTCCTTATGAAGATCTCTTCCCTGTCGCACACCCAGACATGTCGCTTCCCCTGCGCATTCCTCACCACGTATGATCCTGAAGTTTGAAGTTCGCAACAGATACAAGGGTAGGATGGTTTCAAAATGTCGCTCTCGCACTGGCACTGGCCACATTAGAACACAGCTTCAAGGATGGAGGGCGGGCCGTGTTCAACAGGTTGCCCTCGTTGTAGCGCCACGCAAATTCGTATTGAAAGTCTGCAACAGCTTCAAGGATGGAAGACGGGACGTCTTCAAAACATGGCTATCGTCTCAACACCGCGCACATTCGTCTTAAATTTACAGCGGCTTCAAAGATGAGGGCGAATCTTTTTTTCCGACAACCGTGGCTCCCGCCCCAGCGCCACGAACACTCGCCTTGAAAGTTTGCAACAACTTCAAGGATAGTGAGCGGTGGGTTTCCAAAATGTAGCTCTCGCCTTTAGCGCCGCGCAAGCCCGAATCAAAAGCTCGCAACAGCTTCAAAGATACAGGGCGGGCCGTCTTCAACATGTTGCTCTCGAGTTGGCGACGCGGACATTCGTGTCGAAATTCGAAACAGCTTTCAAGGATGGAATGCGGGCCGTTTCAACATGCGGCTGTGGCCTTAGCGCCGCACGCATTCGCTGTAAATGTTCGCAACAGTTTCCGGGATGCAAGGCAGTCCCTGTTCAATGTGGCTCTCACCCTAGGGCCGCGCACATTCATTTTTCAGTTCGCAACAGTTGCAAGGATTCGTATAGTTCAAAGCCCAGGGATAGCAGTATGGCGCAATCTAATAATGTCAGGACGCTACTGTCATGTTGATTCGCTGTGGTGAAGCCTCAAGAATGGTGTTCTGGCGCGGCTTAGGATTGTCAGGACGCAACAATCACGTTGAGTCGCAGCGTGAAGGCCCAGGAATTGCGTTTTGGCACGATAGCGGACTATCAGACGGCTGTCTTCCAAACGTTCACGTCCCACAGTGAACACAAATCTATGAAGAGGGAACTTGGAGGGAGAATGCACTGCAACATCGTTGATGCGTCTTGGATTTGCAGTAGTCCCCCTCCTCCTTCTCCTCCTCCTCCGCCTCCTCCTCCTCCTCCTCCTCCTCCTCCTCCCTCCTCCTCCTCCTCCTCCTCCTCCTCCTCCTCCTCCTCCTCCTCCTCCTCCTCCTCCTCCTCCTCCTCCTCCTCCTCCTCCTCCTCCTCCTCCTCCTCCTCCTCCTCCTCCTCCTCCTCCTCCTCCTCCTCCTCCTCCTCCTCCTCCTCCTCCTCCTCCTCCTCCTCCTCCTCCTCCTCCTCCTCCTCCTCCTCCTCCTCCTCCTCCCCCTACGGCCCTCCATCCTCCAGCCCTCCTTCCTCCAGCCCTCCCTGCTGGAGGTTACATTTTCCGTGTTCGCTTCGCTGGGGGCCATCTCCGCTGGGGTCCTCTTCACCAGGGTCTTCTTGGGCTGGGGTTTGCCTCACCGGGGGCTCGCTTCAGTCCACGGGGGTTCTTTTCGCCAGGGTGCTCTTCGCCAGGGTCCTCTTCGCTGAGGGCCCTCTTCGCCGCGGTCCTCTCGTCAGGGTCCTTTCCACCAGGGTCCTCTTCGCTTGGGTTCACTTCGTCGGGAGTCGCCTCGCGCGGACCGCGGGCGGGCGGCGGACCCTGATGCGCGGACGGGCGGACGAACCCAGATGGGTGGGCGGGGGAGGAGGAGGAGGAGGAGGAGGAGGAGGAGGAGGAGGAGGAATGGGAAGAGGAGGAGGAGGACGAGGAGGAGGAGGCGGAGGAGGCAGACCCCAGCGGACGGGCGGGCGGGCCGAGCGGGCGGACCGGGCGAGAAGGGCCGCGTCGCCGAAGGGCCGTGGCCGAAGAGGGCCCTGGGCGGAGCGAAGCCTGGGCAGAGGAGGGTCTGCGCCCCTCCTGGCAGCCCCTCCTCCTCCTCCTCCTCCTCCTCCTCCTCCTCCTCCTCCTCCTCCTCCTCCTCCACCTCCTCCTCCTCCTCCTCCTCCTCCTCCTCCTCCTCCTCCTCCTCCTGAAGCACGGGGCGGCGGCGGCGCCTCGCGGAACGCTGCGGCCACCAGGGGTTTGTTCTGCTCCATGGCGTCGAACGTGCCCTCGCCGAGGACGAGGGGGGGAGGAGGGGGGGGAGGAGGGAGGGCGGGTGATTCTCAAATTGTGGCTCTCGCCTGAGCGCCGCGCCCATTCGTCTTACTGCGCAAGTGCTCCATGGATAGAGTGCAGGTCGTTTTTTAAATGTGGTGATCGCTTTTGCGCCGCACACACTCGTTTGAAACATCCAAAAACTGAAATGATTACTATGGTTGACGTCCCACGGATGGTGTCCGAGCACGGTTGCGGATTGTCAGAGCGCACCAGTTACGTTGATTCGCGGCGTTGAAGTCCTAGGAATGGTGTCCTGACGCGATTCAGGATCGTCAGGACGCAACAGTAAAATTCATCCGCGGCGTTGAAGTCCACGGATTAGTGCTCTGGCACGACTGAAGAATCTCAAACGGTTGTCTGCAAACGGGGCACGTTCAGCTGTGGGAAAACTTACAAGGACACATGACAAAGGAACTCGGAGAAGTGGTTTCTTGCAATATCGTTGATGCATCTTGGGTTTATTATGGTCCTCCCCTTCTTCCTTCTCGTCCTCCTGCTCTTCCTCCTCCGCCTCCTCCTCCTCCTCCTCCTCCTCCTCCTCCTCCTCCTCCTCCTCCTCCTCCTCCTCCTCCTCCTCCTCCTCCTCCTCCTCCTCCTCCTCTCCATGCTCATAAGCCCATCTCTTCCTCCAACTATCCCTCCTCTTCCTCCTTCTCCTCTTCCTCCTTCTCATCCTCCTTTTCCTCCTCCTCCTAATTACTCCTCCTCGCCTTATCTATTATGACGTCGAACGACTTCTCGGGGAAGTCCAGCGCCGAGGCGTTGGCGTACTGCCAGCGCATGCGCGGCGCGGACGCGGAGAGCCTCGGGCGGAGGGAGGCGGGAGAAGGGAGAACGACGATGAGGAGGACGAGTACAAAGACGAGGAAGGCAAGAAAGGAAGGAAGACCCTCAAATGCGGGCGTCGCAAAAAGTCGCGACGGCTGGTTTGTTGACGTTTTCGGACTCTGGGAATCGCTTCCCGGCCCCCGGACGGTCGAAAGGCGAGCCAGGATGTAAAACAGGCTCTGCGGAAGAGGTCGAGATCCCCGGTGCCCGCGACACGGAAAAATACGACGTCGGAGGGGGGGGGAACGAGGATACGGGCGTGGAATATGCATGCGGATGGTGACGCCCCCTTCCGGGGCTTGGCATACCGGAGCCTTGGGCCGGCGTCGGCAGCGAAAGGGCCACGGAGCCTGCACAAACGTGCGACAGAAGGACGGAAGAGGGAGGACGGAAGAAGGAGGAGAAACAGGGAGGAGGAGGAGGAGGAGAAGGAGGAGGATGGGGAGGAGGAGGAGGAGAAAGAGGAAGGAGGAGGAGGGGGGTGAGGACCAGAGTAAACCAAAGATGCATCAACGATGCTGCAATACAGCCCCCTTCCAAAGCGCCCCTCTCACAAGTTCATACAAGCCTCCCTCCCAGCCCGAAGAAGCGGCCCCTTGAAAGACCAGCACCCGATGGGCCTGCCATGCGGGCGGCAGCCCCGGCGTGAAAAAAACTGCCGTGCATCCTTGTCGGGAAACAAAGAATCTCACTCCTCCTCCTCCTCCTCCTCCTCCTCCTCCTCCTCCTCCTCATCCTCCTCCTCCTCCTCCTCCTCCTCCTCATCTGCTTGACGGGTCGACTGTAGACTAGAAGCCAGAACCCCTAAGTGAAAGCACTGATTGGGGAATCAGGACAACGGACGGAACGATGCTCGGGGCGATACGGCAGGTTCGTGTCGTGCCGACCCCAGCGTTGGTTTTTGACACCGCAGGGATCGTTCAACCTTGAACGATCGGCCGCTGCCGCAACGTCCGATCGTTCAACATCGATCGATTCTGGATCGCCGGCGGCGTTCAACCTTGAACGTCCGCGCTGGGGTCGCCGCTGGTCGACACGACGCAAACCTACCGTACTTGGGGGCAGAGGGTCACGCATCGCGCCCCCCGTCCCACCTCTGGTCTCGCTGCCACGGCTAACGGCGCGAGCCACTCGCGGGCGGCGGGGCCCTCCCCAGGGAGCGAGGGCGCACGGGGGACAGCCACCCACAGCTCCTGCACCCTCGCGCCGCCCGGGGACTCCCTGCCACGCAGGCCAGCGGCCGTCTGCGCCGCCACGCATGCCGCCTCTGCGGGCGCGCGCTCGTCCGTCTTCTCGCGGCAGGCTCTGTTGTCCTCGTCGGTGCGCGCCTCGCTCACCTTGCGCGCCGCCGTGAGGACCTCGATCCATTTCTGCAACATGTGCGTCGCGTCGAAGCCCTTGCACACAGCCCCCGCGATGCCGCTGCGGACTGGCGCCTACTCTGGCTCGTCGAGGGCGCAGAAGGTGATCCCCGCTCGACGCCCTGGCGGATGAGCTCCATCGCGACCTCGCCCGGGGCACCGGCCTTCTCCGCGACGATGGTCACGAGCGCCTGCTGCACGAGGGCCTCACTTGGATGCTCCTGCCCGCTGGCCGTGCCGAGTTCGGTCTCCTGGTCGTCCTTATCCTGGTCCGCGCGCCTCCTCCGCGCGCGCCGCGTAGGGGTTGTTTGTGGGCCCCCCCACCTCGCCTTGCCCTTCGCATCGTCGCCGTTGCTCACCTCCTCCCCGTTGGCGCTAGGGTGCCTGCCCTAGTCGCCCATTTAGCTGCCGTGTTTCTCGCCCTCGCCATCGGGCACGAGCGCCTGCTGCACGAGGGAAACCTCCACCTGGATGGTCTCCTGCTCGCTGGCCGCGGCGCCGAGCTCGGTCTCCTGGTCGTCCGTATCCTGGTCCGCGCGCCTCTTCTGCAGGCGCCGCGCAGGAGCTGTTTGTGCGTCCGACCCCCCCCGCGCCTTGCCCTTCACAGCGTCGCCGTTGCTCACCTCCTCCCCGTCGGCGCTAAGGTGCCTGCCCTGGTCCACCTGGTCGGCCTTGTAGCTGTCCTGCTTGTCGCCCTCGCCGTCGGGCTGTCGCCCGTTTCTCCTCGGCGCAGGCGTCCTCGCTGTCCTCTGCGTTAGTAGAATAGCAGGAGCCGAAGTCCTGGCCGTCGTCGGTCACGATGTCGTCGGTCTCTGCGGCCGCGTCGGCTGCGGCAGCGGCCGGCGCGGCCGCGGTTCCCTCGGCCGCCGCGCTGGCGACGGGCTAGCCCTCACTACCTAGCCCCTTCCCTTTCCCCGCTGCGCCTGCAGGGGTACTTCCCGGAGCCAGGCCCGGTCCGCAGCGGAACCAGCCTTTGGGCAGGTCATGGCGCCAGGCAGCCTCGACGTCGGCGGCGCCCTGTGGCATGGGCGCCTGCACCCAGCTCACTGCGGCCCCCTTCGATCGCTTGATCGGATCTTTCTTCTTGTTGTTCGTAGTTTCATCATTGATATGATCTTCTTATCATATTAGCAGGTTCTTCCATACTATTACTAAAATCCATATCCTTACTAGTGCTACAACTACTACTACTACTACTACTACTACTACTACTACTACTACTACTACTACTACTACTACTACTACTACTACTACTACTACTACTACTACGACTACTACTACTACTACTACTACTACTACTACTACTACTACAACTAATACTACTACTACTA